CAGATACAATCGCTTTGGGTTTGGTTGTGCGGCTAAGGGCGGCTTCAAGAGCCCGGCATATATTGATTTATCAGTTTGTTGACACTATGCACAGAAATACGGCTCTTCCATAGCAATATATCTCATACCAAGGATGCTCAGGTGTAGGATGGAACCAGAACAATTATTGCATGAAAAAAATAACGGACTAAAAGTTCAGATTTGAGAAGTTTCAATTCAGAAGGCAGCCGCCATTTTTCTTCATCATCTCTGAAAAGATTGCCACGTGACCTGGTCACGTGATCTTTACATTCTTGTTTTTGTTCCATGTGAGATAAATTAAACATCAGTGGTATAAAACGACTGCCTTGAATCTATGTAGGCCTAGGCTTTCAGTATTCCAGAGAGAATGGCATTGCTAGGTAATCGACCATTTCATGGTTCACCATCAAGGCCGTACACCTTTCAAAGGCTCATGTTTTCAGTCTCCGGTGGGATTCTGTATTGGAGAACACAAGGTGTTGGTAATGTCTGGTGTTAGGATTGTTGGTACACGAGGTGATTATAAAGCCATGATGCCTCCCATTAAATCGGCGGTTGCCATCCCTAGAATTCCCACATAGGTTCCTTTGAAGGATAACGTCTGAGTATATCGCAAAGGGACCTAACCAACACCTTTGTCCAATCCGCGACGTGCCCTGTGTGACCTCTAACTCCCAGTGAAGGTCACGCGAAGACCCTTGCCAACTGAAAAAAAAATGGCGAATGCCTTCTGCAATCTTCTCCCAGCCAGTTTTAGTTGAATCCTTCATTTTCAACACATGTAGGAAAGATGGAGTTGTGTGGTTATATGTATCGGTCTTTGAGCAAACAGTTTGTTCATATTTTATCCCACGGAGGTAGTAGTATATGTTGCTACTTCAATGACATCTTATAGCAATGGTGATCTTCATGATCAGAATTCCCAAATAGGGTTCCATTGCAAGGTAAAATCTTTATATAGCATAGAGTTGTGTGATTAAATACATATCGGCCATGCACCGCTCGTGCGTATGGTTCTTTAAGTAGACCATTGTAAAATACGTATCATATCAAATAACATGCATTGCCTTCTGGCAATTGTAATCTGCAGAATTCCCCGTTAGGGTTCCATTGCAAGGTAAAGGCCCGATAGAACCAGGCATCAAGGTAAGATATAGAACTATGTGATGCATCTGCAGCTGGAATGGTTTGCAAATTAGTGGCAGTTTATTATATACTACGGAATTAGGTCCAATGAACATCGTTATATTTGGAAAAATACATTACGTGATGCACATATCTTGCCATGGGTACAGAAGGCAACTGCCTTTTTAGATGTACATGTACATTGACCCGATAACAGTCCAATGCAGGAACGTTAAATCTATACCGATTCGGAAGAAAAACATATCGCTTTTGCTCTAGATCTATTGCTTCATTTTCTCCAAACAAATAAGGTCAATGACCTGAACCAGACGTCTGTCACCATGGTAACTAGTGTTGAGTTACATCATGTTGCAATTTTATAGCAGGAGGTATTTAGACTTCTGTCACGAAATACATGTGTTTGAGTAAGAATTAACAGAGCAGACCATATGCGAAGGTAAACATTATGCATTTGCTTTGCAAATGTTACCTTTCATATATAAATAGCGTTTGATATAAAAGCGCAAATTATGTAGAGCGCAAATCATCGCTTTGGTAGTATGTTCTCTGTTTATGAAATCACATTGAATATGTATGAATGGATGAAACATGAAACATGCCAACTTATATAACCAATGACGTCTGGCTAATGTCTGGTTTGGTTGGCTGCCAAGGGTTTGCCACCACAACATTACATAGCAATGGAGAAGAGCAGCTTTCCACAAGGGAAAGAAGCAACAGGCTAAACAGTGCTGTAGCGTAGGGAGAGTGCTGTGGGCTTTTAGCGGGAAAAATCGAAAGAAATCAACAAATCGTCCGATGAAAGTCAATCATGGGTAAGGCAGGGGTCCGGATCCAGTGTCATTAGTGGTAATTTGTGTCGAAGGAATCGGTAGCAAATTACAATTTACGTTAGAAGCAACAAAATTAGATCATTCCACACTCTGCTCTATAATGCGACACTCTGCATTAAGTTTGTTACAAATAACACTTCTTCCATTTCTAAAAAAAAAAGGAAAATATTCGACATCAGATTTTATTCTTATGTATGATTCTTGGAACAACACTATTCTTTACTAGAATTTTACTATGATCATTGGTAGAGAGACTCCATTTTTGAGCGATGTAGGCTTTTGCTACTCTCCAGTGACAGTGTAGTCATTTGTTAAAAAGATATATTGGCTCTTTGACTTGTATTACGGCATCTCATGTGGGATTCATGTAGAAAGAAGGAATATATGATACCTGGTGATGGCAGCATTATGCAAGGATAGACATAAATAACACTACATGAAATCTGAATAATGAATAGTTAAGCATGCCATAAAGCTTACATATGAATTAAAGATTCCGTTTCTTTCAGTCGACTGGAAAAAGACTAGAAAATGCACCATTTTAGCATTTAAGCTGTAGGGCTAGCTGTAGGGCTTTCATACATTGTAAACTTGATTAGAACTTACTTAAAGGTAACGTTACAGATGATTTACTCATTTAACACTCCAATATACAAAATCCCCAGAAGCCCAGCGTTAATATACGTAACATCCACAAACCACGCAGTATTACGTCTGTTTTGGCCTTGTGTGATGATTTCAGAGATGAACAAGAAATGTCACCGGAAATTCGTTTAGCGCACCCAAATCTGCACCGAGACGTAATTTCACAACCTCGGTGAAAAACGTCCGGAGAAAAGCCAGCGGGCACAGCATCATCCCTGCTGCGTTGCAAAGATAACTTCTTCACGTCCTATCACATATAGACAGCAAAAACGTGCTTCAGGGTCTTCTGTTAGATTTGAGTACAGCATATGAGCCTTGAAATTACAGGCAAAGCAAAATGGATTAGGAAATAGTCCAGGTGGCCTTTTGGTTGTCTCTGAGGGTTTGGAGGTGACGTTGGTTTGCAAGTGGTCGAGCCAGATGTTGTTTTACACCTCTTGAATAATTTATGGAACATGAAAAATAGGTGATGTTAGGGTTTATAAGATAAGCTAAATGTTTATTTGATGCAATGAGCCATGTGGTTTTCGTCAAATTGTCCCCTAGGCAGTGCTTGTGGCGTATAATATAACTCAAAGGGAATACGTCGAGTGTAATAGTGCTCACCAAAATGTGCTTATAAAGTCGTTTTGTGCATGTAAAATGCCTCGATATAGTGTGCAATTTTGCTGTGTAGACAGGAAAAGCTAAGTAGGTTATTTGTAAGAATTTGGGGGGATTTTGAAAAAAGCATAAAATCTTGGCTGTTGCTGAGTATTTGAGCAATCTGCAAGATTTGGTTCGAGACAACTATTGCCCGGAAAGGACTTAAGATATGGCTGCGGCTTTCCTATGGGAACTGGGACTTGGAAGTTTGTCTTATGTGAAAATCCAAAGTTATAGCCGGAAAGTCTGACAGTGTCAGGTGCCCCCACATATATCCACAAAAATGACAATTTAGCTCTGGAAAGAGATGAAATCATTGTATGGGCGTTGACCACCATCTTTAATTTCAAATCCTTTCAAAATGTAAAAATATGGGTTCTCTGCATTATACTTTCTGTCTAAACATTCTGTCGTTTATTCATTCTTAGTCAGGTTTCTGCTGCCATTAAAGACTATATGTTACGTTTTCAGATTATTCAGGAACAGGTACAGGTTACTTTTAGCAATGCAGCGCTATTGTTTTTTTTAATAAAACTATCAAGGATTCTAGCTTGGCCGGTTTGTACTTGGGCACGGTTTAGAAGAAACGTGTACCAGATAGAGGTGCGGTGTGCTATATACCAAGATCACGATTCGGCGAGCCCAGTGTGAAGACGGCCTTCGTTTCCTAACCAGAGCTGACAATGTGGCTTAATCAGTCTAGGCATTAGTGAGTTAAGTTGTTCATCAGTAACTAATCCTGAAGGCTGAGTAATTAGGAACTGGCAATTACATTATCTTCAACAAGTGTACGCAGGGCTTAGTGCTGCAGAGATCACGACTGGTAGTCACGATCTTTAACTCGTTGGCGTACACGTGTAATCACTTGAATGATACACACAGTTGCAGTGACATTTCTGAAAGGTTATACCAATCAAAAGAGCGACGAACCTTGGTGAAGGACTACAAATGAGAAAAAATATGAAGGAACAAACATTGCCCTAAATATGTCAAATATGATTTATTCTTCTACACGTCTAATCAAGTTAATGGAACAAACTGTTGCAATGTATTTCTGAGAATCTACTTGAATGTGATAACAGTCGGAAGAAAGAGGAATATTGTTGAAGGATTACAAAATGAGAAAAAACATCATTGCCCTAAAAATGTCAAACATGATTTATTCCTCAATTTAGTTTACGAACAAAAGAATGTGTAATCAAGTTAATGAAACAAACTTGAAGTGTATTTCTGAGAATCTACTTGAATGTTATCACAGTCGAAAGAAAGAGGAACCTTGTTGAAGGGCTACAAAGTGAGAAAAAATTATGAAGGAACAAAACATTGCCCTCAAAATGACAAATATGATATATTTCATTCGCAAATTCTGCGTACTAACAGCCCTGCGGGTACATACATTTTATGACGAGACTGTAAATTGGTGTCAGAATGAAGGATAGTGTCGTTATGAAGGACAGCAGAAAGACAAGAAGCTTGCCAAAGATAAGGAACGGGAAATGACAAAAGACGTTTCTCCTACTTCTATTACTGTCTTTCACTTTTGTAAGCACATTTTTATCTGCCATCTTTTGAGTTAGAAATAATCAAAAGACACAATAATCTATGCTGAGTCAGAGATATTAAATCGTTTACGCATTGTTTTGTATGTGTTATTGTATGTGTTATACTGAAATATTTTTCAAGTGGTAATGTGATATGTTTTTTCTCCAGGCTGTTGCGTCAGTGGATCTGGCTAACACTGTAACGTCACTGAAGGAAGAGTTCAAACCAGGTGAGGGTTGCACGTACATTACATACTTGGCATCAGATACCCTATTATTACTCAACATAACCTCTACACACCCGGTTCGAAAGGATTTTCCAGTGCATGATTATTACAAATTGCGGAGCATGACAAGAGGTCGATAAGTAGTTTCCTGAAATTTCGTGCCTATCACTTTTTCAATGAGGCTTTAGGTAAGACCATTGCTATACTTACATCGCAATGATATTCAATAATAACTCTACAAGAATGCTAGACCCGAGTTCAAAACATTTTGCAGAGGATGTTCATGGTTATTAGGCCATATTGATTTGATACTATATGGATCGCGCGTATGAATTTTCGTCCGTTAAAAAAGTTTCCGACCATACTGTAAATCGTACAAAGTAGCTGCAAAATGAACAATATCTGCCGCAAGTTGCAATAAAAATATATCGGAAAACGATACTTATAGAATGCCAAAAGCAATTCCAAAGGAAAAGAAGAAAATGTGAAGAAGTCAAAAGGAAGAGTCTACTATTCGCCATACCATACTCTGTGTGTTTACTCATTTGTTCAACCTTCGTCACAACGTAGATGTCATAATGAAGGCAACTTTTTTGGCAATTTTTTTCTTCTCACGATCGCATTATTTTTGTAGCACTTATCTTGTAATCAGTGCGAGTTTCAGTATGTAATTATTTTTTATCATTAACAGATGATAATGTCTTGTATATAAAAATTAAGAATTACTGATGAGGACAATGGATAAACTGTAAATACCCACAAGTTGTGTATTATAAAATGAGAACAAAGGATTTTGTAAATACTGACCACCATTCAGACCGTTGTCTGCAATGTGGTATTTGAAATAAAATTTCAAACTTTTGGGGTTCCCAGAGGATGTCAGGCATATGATAATCAAATCAACATGGCCTAATCACGAATTCCGCACCAAGACAACGGGTCAGGAAGGAAGTTATGCTTCCCGGAATTTCGTGCCTTTTCAATGATGGGTTCAGGCCAAGGGAGAGTTTCTAACATCTCCTGATACCCTATCATTACCCTGCAATACATTTCTAGACACGAAAACATTTTCTTGGGGATGGTTATTACGACTTTCGGAGGAAGACTCGCACGAACTGCATACATTACAATACCAACGGTTTGGGGGCTAATACTAGTAAGCATTGGCGGCGAATGTAATGACAAAGATGCACGAAATCATGCAAAGTTTGTGAAACTTTGATGTTTACTTAGACATTGTCAATCAGAGGATCTAACAAATTAATTCCATACACGCGATGTAAAAATGGTTCCCTAACATTTATCTGTTTATAATACCTTAAAGCAAGCGTAAATTTTCCCTTTTCCTAAAGTTTTAGACGGTAGTATCAGTCTAACGAAATCAGAAAATGTGTCAAATTCCCCTACCTAACTAAGAAATTAGTCACTAGTGCATCCCTACTCAATCTTTTTTTTAAATTTCAAATTAATTGCACTATGGTGATCCTTCCAAAAGATCATGCCAAAACATGCCTACTTCCCCGTAATTTGTAGTTAATTGAACCCGCAGTTCGTAAGAAAGCCATCTCTTTCTAACCATCACATCCCACGATATATTGATCTTAGAGACATGACTGCCATTAGGTGCACCTTCCTGAAGAATTTATTAGTCTAGAGAGTTCAGGAAATTGATGCTGATTGCTACCCTTTGCGTACGGTCTTCCTCCATTCATTGAAATGGCTTCGTGCCAAAGGCAACTATGCTGAAGGTCGTCCGGAAAAGTTTCGTAATTGAAAGTCATAGTGCATTTGTCTCTCTTGAGTGAACGGGGGAAATATAATCAATTCCCAAGCAAGGATGAGTCCAATATTCAGGTCTATTTTGGGCTAACTTGATTAAAATATCATTGAAGTGTGATGAAATGTGAAATGTGAAGTGTGACGCCCACCCCCATCTACAACACCCTCATCACGTGACCTGTCTGACCTCTAACCCCAGGTCATGTGACGACATATACAGAGTTAAGGTAAAGAAAGATGGCGGAGTGCCATTTCAAAAACTTCTCTTCTACTTCTATTTCCTATTGGGGCAAGCCCTATCTGGGGCATCCCACCCATAACAAGCTGACAAAAAATAAAAACGTTTAGTAGTGCCCAACAACTTTGTTTATTCAGTGATGGGGCTACTCAAACAGTCTACAAAATATACATAGCATGATAGTAGAAGGCATAATGCCTTCCTGTCTTTTTCAGTTCTCTGCAGCAGCGCTGTAGCCGATGTAGTGATGATCATCATGAGTCTGGCTTTGATGGTGGGGGTGCTGCTGGTAATTCCTAATGTATTCAAATGAAGTGATTTGCATAAAGTAATTTGCATAAAGTGATTTGCATAAATGATCAGTCAGTAGTAGAATTTGAATCGTCAGTGAGTGTCGTTTACCTGGATGTCTAACCTTCATCTACTTATAAATGACATTGATTGCAATGACGTTTACTGCAAATTCATCCCCTATTTGGGGTAAATGCAGTAAGTTGCTATGTTCTATCTATATCTCTTTACACGTTTATTCTCTATTCTTGAGACATTTGTAGGCGAATTTACAGAGTTTAATATTTATCTAGCTGGGGTATTACGCCGAAGGGCGGTTATACCGACTATACAGATACAGAGTTTTTCTATTACATCGTGGTTAACTTACATATGACCATATAATTTCAGTGAAAAAGAATGATGTACACTAGACATACGTATTACTTCCAGGCCAATAAGTGGCTGTGTCTGGCGTGGATCACCTACGCAGCAGTCTTTATGGCGACGGGAACCATCATTGCCATCGTGCACGTCGCCACGGAGGCGGTGGAGTTCGAAAACATCCTGGCCACACTCAACACTCTGAACAACGGCAACGGGACGTCGTACAACGTCGATGTCTTGAGGGAGGTGGGTTGGGAACAGTGGAGTAGAGGGCAGACAGTACTATTACGCTTGGCCCTAGAAACCTATGGTTAAGTCCTCGTACTTTAAACCTCTATTCTAAACCTATACTTTTAGGCTTGAGGACTCTTCACCAAAAGTTAAACAGATCAGAGTTTATCAATGGACTGGATTTTGGTGATGTGAGTGGGCGAGCAAAATCATTTTTGTCCTGTTTGAAGTCTCATAAATCATAAAGTAACCTAAATTCTCGGCGTTCACACGCGTAGATATTAGCTTTATACTTATACAAAAGAAGAACGTTTGAAGTATCATTTCATTTCACTCCTTTGTTCAGTCAAAGGGAATTGGCATCTTTGATTTCTGCTCACGATTGATATATAAGCTGTATATAGATTATCATTGATAAACTCTGATCTGTTTGACTTTTGTAAAGAGTCCTGAAGCCTAAGAGTAGAGGTTTAGAATAGAGGTTGAAAGTTAAGCCTTGCAAGATGTCAGAAGTGATCTCACGATGCAATAATCACTACTGATCTATGTTATGAGCTCAATACTAGCCTGTACATACGCCAATGCTGTGTCTTTCGTTTTAGATGGTATTAACAGAGATTCCTAGTCGCCCACATACGGATACAAAACGTCGGAAATGGATTATTCGCACTATTATATGTACACGTCAAAACAACTAATCTTGGACCATTTCCTGCTAGCCTGTCAAAAACGCCAGCCTTTTAAAACTCACATTAAAATGATATTTACAAAGATTTGAGTGCCTTATATAGATCAAATTTGAGAAGTTGTGTTACGGTGTAACAACATACAGCAACTGATCCTTTCTGAGCTATGCTATTAGCCGTTTCGAAGTCGACGGATCATGTTAAATGGTATTTAAAGATTAGTGGTCCCGCACACATAGATGGAACGTGTTTTTTACGATATTTCTACAAAGATTTGAGTGCCTTAAATAGATCAAATTTAAGACGTTATGTTACGGTGTAGCAACATACAGCAACTGATCCTTTTTGAGCTCTGCTATTAGCCTTTTCGAAGTCGACGAATCATGTTAAATGGTATTTATGGATTAGTGGTCCCGCACACATAGATGAAACGTGTTTATATGATGTTTCTACAAAGGTTTGAGTGCTTTATATAGATCAAATCTCAGAGGCTATGTAACAACAACAACTGATCTGCTAGTAACCTTTTCAAAGTCGACGTTTTTACAAATCAGGTTAAATAGTATTTACTGGGATTTGTGGTCACACACACATAGATGAAACGTCGGAAGTGTTTTTACGTTATACAAAAGGTCATATTCTTTCAGTTCTTAACCTATTCGCCTTTACATCATAAATGATGCGTGGCCTTTGGTTTTAGACTCATCATCAGGTGTTCTTTGGACTGATTATTGATGTAAAGTACTATGAAGGACTAGAACGCAGCTGGTACCAATGTTTATATATATGGGTTACTACGTAACTAGTACGCAATGTCAATCAATATTCGTCATATTAGACACTCATTGAAGGAAAATATATTATGAAACGCAGGTGTTTTTATAGGTCAATTACATTATACTGATGTAGAAGGTTAGTATTATGGCTGGGGTTAGGGTTAGGGTTAGCGTTTTTGAAAGGACTTTGAAATATGGCCACAGATTCCTCATTCTTGAATCGGAGCACGTAGCATGTTTCAATAACTGCGAAATGAAGAACACTTTGAGTGATGATATAACACTTGGTTTCTTTCCTTAATTTCAGGGAAAAGCTATGGAACTCGGCATCCTGATGGCGGTGTATATCGTTGCAGCAATACCGATGGTAAGTTCGAGCGATGCCCAAATGCTGGTTGTCAGTCGGCAAAACTGAATTATCAATTTGCTGGTCATTCTTTTCATTTGGTGAGTTGAATCAATTTTATTCCATAGCATACCGGTTATGTGCGAGGCAAAAATGGGTTGAGGCAGACGGAAAACGGAAAATGGCAGACGGAAAACGGAAAATGGGTTGAGGCAGACGGTTGAGGCAGACGGAAAACTGTTGCTTGTTTTGTATCATAGGCTGGAATGACCAGCAAATTGATAATTCAGTTATTCATGAACGGTACCAAAAAAATAATGAGACTCCTCACCTAACCCTTTTTCGGGCTTTTTTAAATGCTGAAATGATGACGAAAATATCAGACAGATTTCCTCATCCAGTATCCAGTATTTTGTTTTGTTTTGCCGCCATGATCTAGCTTTAGGACACTTTATTCGTCGCCTCTCTGCCAAAAGTCTCATCCCCGTATTTGCAAATGTTACCTTTCTTTTATCTTGATGTATGGCGTTATGCAGGTGTTAAGTCCATGCACATCCTTACACAGTAGGCATCCGTTAATCATATCTCTTCAGTGTCATAGTTCGACTTCCAAAGGCGAGGAAGTTTGACCTATACGCTGGTAGTCTCGACCTAACTCAACGTCCAATTACTCAAAGTCTTTAGGTAACGCATTTCAGAAGATAATATATATGGCAGGAATATCAATAACGTAAGGCACATTGGCAGTTGAATATCCTAGAAAATTTCTAAGAAGTTGCATGTTCAGGGAATGTCAAAAAACTAAAAAATGTATTCTGCGGAAAAAGTCCACGCTGGGACGTTTGAATGCAGAGTAGAAGCTGTCCAACATTTATTAGTTTTTCTACTGTAACCAATCACAGCGTTTGATTGATCCCATCTTTGACAGGGCATGTCCATATATGGAGATGTACATATATGAAGATAATTAGTTTTCTGCTGTAACCAATCACGGTGTTTGATTGATCCCATCTTTCACATGTCGGTAGCTTCGCCTTGGCATGTCCAAATATGGAGATGATTGGCTTTCTGCTCTAACCAATCACAGCATATGATTAAACCCGTCTTTGACATGTCGCTAGCTTCGCCTTGCCAATGTCCAAATATGGAGAGAAGTTTCGCGAAACTTGTTAACGCTATACTGCACCTTTATTTAGCTGCGCAATTGAATTACTCCCGCATCCTGTAGTCCATGCAGCGAGATTCAAACAGTCGCTTTGAAGGTCATTATATACTCTTAACATCAAACAAGTCGCCCTCCGGCCATCGTTACAGCCTCTGGCCACTAGATTCTGTGATCTCTCAGATACTATACTAAGATTTGACAAATCACTCAACGAATTTCACACATAAACGTTTTTTTTACTTGTGTGTGTTTAAAAATTATATTTAACGACATCAAATTCAATGTCAGGGTGGCAAAAGAAAATCTTTTCTGGACGAGAAAATCTGTGTGATATTGACATTTATGTCCTACCTGAGCCGCGATTACGTTCGATACGGGTGTTCCGGCCCGTGTGATAACTAGCGGTACGGCCCGGGGGTTCTTAACGCGTACAGCCCGGCCCTTCCAAATGTTCCACAGAACGATTCGAACGCGTTTCGCCCTAACCGCGTACAACGCTTTCGAAAATTCGAATGCAAAATTAGGACGTTGGAATTGATGTTGTTGCGTTTTTTGGGATTAGGGACACGAAATCTTTGCTCATTTCGCATTGAAAGGCGTGTTTTCGTGGGTGGGTATGACATAAATAAAATACAACACGGTGTATTCCGCATCACCCTCGGTCCCAGCCCTCCCGCGGATCGGATCACCCTCCGGCCTTCGGCCGTCGGGCGATCCGACGCGCGGTCGGGCTGGTACCTCGGGCGATACGGAATACCCCGTGTTGTATTCTATATTTACGGCCATTTCTTTTATAGCACAGTTTCGTCATCATTTCATACTTGAAGCGTTTGAAGTGGCCCCCAAAAAAAGCATCCCCTTTTATCCATGGTTACCGTCCATAAATGGCTATAGCCAGCCTACGATACAAAACAAGCAACCGTTTTCATCCGTGACATCGCATTTTTGCCTCACAGATATCAGTATGCTATGGAATAGGGTTGATTTAGCTTACTACTTAAAAGGAGGACCAGAAAAGTGACTTTAAAAATCCAGTTATGCTGCCCAGAAATTGCATTGATTGCCTTTAAACATCACACGCCACATTCCAATTATAAGATGAAGGTTTACACAAGTTCAATGTTGCTTGTGTAACGGTCACTCACTGACGATCGTCTAGTGGAAATGCCCAGTGCCCTTTCACAAAACCATTAGTAGCACCTGAACGCTCTTTAAGAGAGTTTTTTTCTTACACCCTTTATGATGCTACAAACCAGCGGATACAATTATATGGCTCATACACATTAACGTTACACCCTATACGTTGACGACGATGTACAATGTTTTGTAATGAAAGAAGAGGAGTTAACTAATTTGTCATTAAATCAATATGTGGCGATGAGTGCAACTTTGTAGGAATCCATACTCATTTGTACATGTAGCCTTTTTCAGCTTTAGAATGCTCTATAGGTCGCTTCCCTGTCAGAAATGATTATTGCTACAGTGTATGTGTTATTGGGTGGACTGGCTACTCTCTCCGTGAAGTCAATGCTTGCATTGTAAAGAGCTTACAATTATTGGGCTGAATCGCAAGGGTTTGGAATGGCTGCCATTTGGTGCTAATAACTCCGGTACCTCGATACGTGCCCCAGGTGCAGCCATAGGACTGTCAGGTTTTCAACCACTCACACTGGGAGGGATCCCTAATCTTTTGGTGCTTTAATGTAGTCGAAGTGTGGTTCTCCTCAAACACGAGAAATTCATTCAAATTCCTATTCCAGGGACTCCCATTACACCACAAAGCTGTGTAAGAATGAGAACAAGAATTCGGAGATCTAAGACCTCCATGAAATATTTAGATCTTTTGTGATAGTGACTGCTACCTCTTCTTATTCACCATGGTGTCTACAAGTCGGACAATGGAAACAACACCAACAAAGGAGGTCATGTAACTAAAGCACCTGAGAAAACAACAAGTGCTACCAGATGGGACTAATGACTTTCCGTTCTTGGTACAGACTGAACCCGAACAAAACCATTATAACAACTTCACCTAAGGGCCATGCAGAAACACAGACACACACACGGACACACACATAAACACAAGCATACCAAAAACAATACTTCCGTGAAGGAAAACTGAAGTATTTTGTACGTTCCTCCAGTGTATCCTGCTCCTCGTGGTGATCTCTCACTACCAGAACCTGCGGGACGGCGTGGAGGATGACGAGTCATTGCCGATGCCATACGAGGTAACCAACCAATTTTAAGATAAAACCTAGTAAATTGAAAGAACATTAAACTCCTGTGTGTGAAAATAGAATCTCCATACTTGTAGGCAATTAAGTATCGAAACAACACTAGGTGCACGATATGTGTATTATATTAAACTGTATTTTACCGCTCACACAACTGAGGTACGCTGTGAATTACTGGATGTCTAGACAAGATACGACGTCGTTAGATGTTTGTCTTGCAAGTTCAAGTTCAATTTTTATTTAAATCAACTGGCATGTACACAGATTCACAGAAAGACGTTCTTTCTTAGATCTTAACTGCCACCATTGAGACTTTGAATCTGCATATCTTAAGACGAATTCAATCAAACAGTCTCTTTCCATGTACAGATAATTTCTTGATTTACTGTCTGTAAGTTAGCTTGTAGACTTGTCTGAGTTATATTAGGTTAACGCTGTTTTCACAGACAACTCAGACAAAAACGCGCAAACAGACAGAGCTTCTTATGCCACTTTCAATACCAGTACATTCCATTTGTCGAACCGTCCCGTTGCAGTTTTAATCGGATCAAAACTATCTCCAAAAGTATATCAGGATCTTTAACGTCAAAGGTAGTCACCGTGGTCAGATATATCAAGGACTTGGCGTTATCCGATGACGCAAGAGTAAATCTTATCGGTTTTTGATGTGGGTTGCTTCGTTTTTTGTTCGAAAATGGAATTGCTGAAAATACGTGACTAGCAGAGTATAGTGTGTGTTTGTTGAGCCTTAATTCATGAAGCACTTAAATCGGCCTGTTAGGCACTTTCCTTTGAGATCATGGAGAAAGAAGTCAGGGTCAGACAAAATTAACCAAGTTACATGATTGACGTCTTTCCAAATCCGTAAACATATAAAAAGTCTATATTCTTACACATATACTTGGTTTTACAGACTAAAAACATAGAGCAAAATATCATAATCTGCGTCCGTCTTTGACCGTTCATTTGGGTCGTTGATACGTCATGTGTATACACGATGTATCATGTTGATGATGTTTATGATATATTATGTTGATGATGTTTGTAATATGTTATGTTTCTCCAGTTGACGGAGTACAATGGTCTCTCCAAGCAGCGCAGAAAACAAGAGAGAATGATCCGGGAAGATGCGCCATCTAACATGCACGGGAAGCATGGTTATTACAGACCTCGGCCAGAGTTCCCGAGGTCCATCACGCTGCGGCCCGAGGTCCAAACGGCAGCGTACTTCACACCCGAGGTCGGCCCCAGGCTCGAGGTCCAGACTGCCGAGGTCAATCCTGGAAGAGGTCTCAGCCTCGAGGTCCCTGGGTCTGCGGTTAAGGCGCCCGAGGGCCCCAATGAGTCCCCTGTGAGTCAGCATTCCGAGGGCGCACAGACGTGCACCGAGGTTGTCGTGTTCACGGACACAGCGAAGACTGCGTCAGAACCGACGCCCGATGTCTACTCGCCGGAGAGCCTCAGTCCTGATGACCTGGGCATGACGTCATCAGGATGCGTGCCTACCTGCACCCCCAAATGCCTCCAACAGGAGGCGCTGCTACCGAACCAGCCAACGCGTACAGACACAACAAACAAACCATGAAACATGTTTGAAGCATTCTTTATCACTCTCATCTACAAATAGAGTCCTCACGCCCCCCTACATATGTATTATAACTGGGACTTAGTCAACGCTCTTAAAAATTTCATTAAAATACATGAGAATCAAATTTATTCCATACAAAATATCATGCCACCAATTCATATCAAAAATTGCTGTTTGCAGTGGATTTTGGTTTCCTTCTACCCACAATTCCCAACTGTCGCCATATTACCCGCAACGAATCATGGGAAGTCTAAGATAGTAACTAAACTAAGGGCTGCGAAATTGGTCTTAACTCATTCCGACAGTTCGATATTGCCTTGAACCCTACTTGTCTTTCCGAAGGATATCCTTCCTCCAAATTAATCAGGCCTCTCTCCAAGAAAGCTCTATCATTACCACCGGAAGAAAAAGGTACTTGATGCCAGCTCCTTGACGTGAAGAAGTCTTGAAAATTCCCTTCTTCAGTACTCTTCTCGGTGTTCCTGCTTAGTGCAACAACATTTCGCTTGATGAGTATGACTATACATGCAGGTTATAAGATGAGTAGTGAGAATCTTGTATAAAGTGCTTTTTTGACAGTTTCTTGTGCTTGCTAAGATGACTTGCAGACATGTCAGAAACAACTAGTGACTGTGAATTCTAATGTATAGCCAATAGTAGGCTTCGTTGCTGTGCCATTTTTGTCCTATTGTGTGGCGTTATCTGGTTGGATGTCAGTTTTCTATCGATTGTTATAGGCTGCCAGTAACCCATTGAAAATCGAAAAGTTCATTTGCACACTTACACATTTTTCAACCGAGACGGGGGTCGCAACAGACTGCCCAGCACCTTTTACCCTTTGCCGACATCATACTTCCGTTCATATCATGTGACATAGATTTTGGGTCATTTTTACTCGAGAAGGATCACAGGAAAGCTCGTTTGCAAACTTGGTATACAAAAAAATGTTTTATAATAATTCAGAAATAATAAGCAAACGAGGATCCAACCACGAAGCCTACTAAATTTATATAGGCTCGAGTGCACAGCTTTGTAAATAAGAGTATAGCTTTTGACAAAGAAAACGTCGACTTTACCGGAATATAGATGTTTTATACATGGACATTAGATTCACCCCCACGCTTCTACATATTGGTTTACGGTACTTTGATCATATTTCGATAGCCATCTAGTTATGAATTCATAAGTCTATGTCTTTCTAGTCGACACAAGCTGACCCATGTTATTATACACACCATTGGTTTTCCTAGCCTTATCTTGCAAAGGTTTTGCTGTAGGAAGGGTTTGCTGTAGGAGAACCCTATTCTCCAAAATTAGTTCCTTTGTGAGATTATTTCCTTCATCAACTCATGTGTGTTATCATTGTGTGGTATAGAGCACTTTGATACAACTTAGAGATAAACTTAAGTAACTATCATCTTTCAATGCCATGTTATTTTGATTGTATGGATGGCATCCGCGCTCGCATAAATTTTCGTCTCTTAACAAACAAAGGTTTTTGACCATACTGTTAATCGTACAAAGCAGCTGCAAAATGAACTATATGCATGCCTAAATTGCAAAAAAAAAACGTTGGGAAACGATACTAATGGCGTAGACTGCCAAAATAAATTCCAAAGGAAAAGAAGAAAATGTGAAGAAATGAAAATGATGAGTCTGGTATTTGCCAAATAATATCATTATAATTACATTTGGTTTATTCGCACGCTCGCATCAGTTTTGGGGTTCCCAGAAGATGTCATCCATTAATCAAATCAGCATGGCCTTACTTCCACAGTTTCCGTCTTGTCTCCCATTCAGTTGCTGAATCGTCTTGTGTTAATACATTAGATATTTCATTTGTAATGAGTTAGAAATAACATCTTGTGTTAATACATTAGATATTTCATTTGTAATGAGTTAGAAATAACATCTGAATAAGTCACATAATGTTAGCTTTTGTACATAGCTACAAGAATGATTCTCACGGAAACAAAGGACTAAATTCAATTCGTAATGGCGTCCTTTGTTCAGTACATTTCTTGGTCACGAAATTCAAAGCTTACACATGTAATTATACTGTTCGTTTTCAATAGACGTATTCAATTATGTATCGAGTTAACAGCAATGTTATTAGATCATAGAGATGAGTGTTTAGTTGAACTAGTTATTCAAGTTTTATGGTAAAAACATCTGTGAACATTGATATCCATTGCACATGGCATTTCACATGTCAAGTCTCTCTGACTGAGATCGATTTAATCAATAAACACACCATTCGTCGTGGTAAAAACCAGCCGCCTTGTGTACTAGTAATTTGTAGGAGACGGGTTTCCTCGACTGATGGCGTAAGTTTTCGGCAAGCTCATGCCACCAAATTCCGCCAGGTGGCGCTACTGCCTGGTTCAAGGTTACTGTGGCGGGAATAGCATGAAGACAGCGTTGTTTGATAATACTGAATCGCTATTGGTCGCCTGTATATCTTAATAGTTATAGTGTGCGTATGCTTATCTGTTCGTCAACAGCATCAATCGAGAAAGCTTAGATGGATTATCTTGATATTTGATAGGTGGGTAGGTCTTTATGAGAAATGTCGAAATGATTAGATTTTAGCCCTTGGTGGCCTGTTATGGTAGTAGCGGAACGTTCGGTTTCGATATCTCGCGACCTGGACATGCTAAGTTCATCATTTTTGGATGGTAGATAGATCGTGAAGAAGTGACGTAAGTTTGGGCCCCCTAGCAGCTTGTTTGGGAAGTGCAGTAGATCTCACCGCAAAAGCGCCACCTACGTCGGCTACAAATATCGCACGATGTATGAAGACGTTGTTTTCAATTCTTTTGTTTTCATTGATTTCATGTATTTATTATCATCATGATCATCATCATCAGACTCGATCATGCATGAAATCATCATCATCATCATCACCATGCCTCCGGATTGATGATGATGATGATGATTTATCATGATGATGATGATGCTGATGATGATTTATCATGATGATGATGATGATGATGATGATGATTTATTATCATAATCATCAGACAGACTCGATCATGCGTGTGTCTTCGATTTCTGAGAATACACTGTCCTTTGAACAGGGATCGTTTTATATACGTCCTACCTTCACTTATTCAAAATTTTCTTCCATTTTTTTTGTTATCACTTGTACCCCCCCCCCCTAAGTTTTTGTGGTCGCCCCAATGTATATTCATGTTACCTGACTGTCTAAAGATATCAGGTGTACGAGAGCTGATTGGTTAAAAACTTGTAACTTTCCGACCCGCTGACCTACTTTTGTAAAATCCTGTCTGGTAGGACAATGGCACGGGCACATTGCATAATGTCCTTGGGTAGGGTGGCTATGTTTCTTGGCGTGCAAACAACTGATTTTACTTGGACTACAAAACGACTACTGTGCAGATATTCTGTACCGAAGAGACTGTACTTAATTTTGAGAGGTCCCATCATTATGATATTGCGCGGTGTAAGAGGAATCCAAGCCAAGGATTTTTTATCTACTTTTGTGATAAGCTGACTGGTATGTGGTACAAATGTCACACGTTTAACCCTTGTCCTGCTGGCCATCCTATGCATTGCATCATCTGTGTATGTGCTGGTCAGAGTGTCAGCGAACGTCAGCTGACCGAACTAACTTTGGTCTGGATTGACTCAGAACTTACTGCAAGGAGGTTGTGAGTTTATTCGTTATTAATGAATACTGAAATGTCAATGACAGGCTAACACAATAGAGAGTATTTATTATCATCATGATCAGACAGACTCGATCATGCATAAAATCATCATCATCATCATCAATCCGGAGGCATGATGATGATGATGATGATTTCATGCATGATCGAGTCTGTCTGATCATGATGATAATAAATCATCATCATCATCATCATCAATCCGGAGGCATGATGATGATGATGATGATGATGATGATTTATTATCATCATGATCAGACTCGATCATGCATGAAATCATCGTCATCATCATCATCAATCCGGAGGCATGATGATGATGATGATGATTTATTATCATCATGATCAGACTCGATCATGCATGAAATCATCGTCATCATCATCATCATCATCATCATGCCTCCGGATTGATGATGATGATGATGATGATGATTTATTATCATCATGATCAGACAGACTCGATCATGCATGAAATCATCATCATCATCATCATGCCTCCGGATTGATGATGATGATGATGATGATTTCATGCATGATCGAGTCTGTCTGATCATGATGATAATAAATACTCTCTATTGTGTTGGCCTGTCATTGACATTTCAGTATTCATTAATAATTGATAAACTGAGAAAATCCTTCCAGTAAGTTCTGAGTCATTCCAGACCAAAGTCAGTTCGTTCAGCTGACGTTCGGGAGCACTCTGACCAGCACATACACAGATGATGCAATGCATAGGATGGCCAGGAGGACAAGGGTTAAACGTGTCACATTTGTACCATATACCAGTCACCTTATCACAATAGTACAAATGTAGATCAAAAATCCTTGGCTTAGATTCCTCTTACATCGCGCAATATCATAATGATGGGACCTCTCAAAATTAAGTACAGTACAACAGTTGCGAATTCAGGCTTTCAATAATATCTGCACAATAGTCGTTTTGTAGTCCAAGTAAAATCAGTTGTTTGCACGCCAAGAAACATAACCACCCTACCCAAGGACATTATGCAATGTGCCCGTGCCATTGTCCTACCAGACAGGATTTTACAAAAGTAGGTCAGCGGGTCGGAAAGTTACAAGTTTTTAACCAATCAGCTCTCGTACACCTGATATCTTTAGACAGTCAGGTAACATGAATATACATTGAGGCGGCCACAAAAATCTTAGGGGGGTGTACAACTGATAACAAAAAAATGGAAGAAAATTTTGAATAAGTGAAGGTAGGACGTATCAAAAAACGATCCCTGTTCAAACGACAAATGGACTATTCTTCTCAGAAATCGACACACCCATGTCTGTCGTTTTGTCGCGCCCAGCTATCTGTCAGTTATGCAAATGTCTCTAATGGTGTAAGCCACCTCGTGGTCTAGCCAGGATTTGACTAAGCTCTCAGACGCACTCTTTCACACGGGCATACTTCGGGGAAGGAACTGTAAGTCAAGCCTAGGAACTACAAGCACTGTGTTTAAAACAAGGTAAGATATTTGTATTTTACCGGTATATTTGCTCCGAAGGCCTTCCTATGCATGCTTTGGTACACATTTTAGAGTAGCGTTGTAGTTTTTTTTACAAATTTGTCAAGTCTACAAGTAATAGTGCATTCTATGTCTTATTTTATCGTTTGCGTTGTCTTTTTTATAAAGTGGCGAGTAGTTCTAAAAGTATGATGTGTTAGTATAAGCAATGAACTTTCAGGACGACTTTTCGTCGCGTTCCTCCTAGACAAAGAAACTACGGTATTCTTCGACTTTTCGTTAACTTTCTAACTTTCGGTAGAAAAGAAATATCATTTCGTAAACTCCCAGAATTTTCCCTCGTGACAGTTAAACAGTTGTTAGTTTTTTTGTGTCGAATTTTAAAAAAAAATGTGTCGATGCTGTGCTAAAATTTCTGGTTCTACGGTGTACGGTGTACATCTTCTTAGTTAAATGACCTACATTTAATGTGCCGGGTGGCGGCCACGTGCACACAGACAGTGGAAATTTCCACCACGCAAAGCTTGTGAGCGTTCAGCATGACGCAATACTTACTCTCCAAGCAGAGGTGTAGGCTTCGACTTTTCTTACGAATTTTTATCGGGCTTATTTTGTTGTGGTATTCTTTTGCGCCAGCAATTAGAGTGGCATATTGTAACTGCCTGGACAATTTGATACCGTCTTGCAGCCACCGAAACATCTGCTTGTAGAGAAATTAGACTAAGGCCCGATTTGGCTTCTAGCTCTATGGTCAGACCCAAGGACCACAAGATATCCTAGGTAGACAGTATCAAAATATTGGCCAGTCTGTATGCATTTCCCCACCGAACTGGTTACAGACTGGCCAATTTGATACTGTCGTCCCCACCGAAAGACCTCACATGTAACAGCCGGGCCCCTGTCGTCCGAGAAGAAAAAAATTGACCTACATTGTCTTCTTCACTGAAGTGTATTTGCATACTAGTAACACACACGTGTACCACAGAACAAGTAGATTCTAAATTGCCCGTTGTCGGTTTCCTGTCGTGTTTCATCATGCAAACTGTAGCACCTATTCTATATCCCGATCACTTCTGACTGAAAATAGTGAGAATTTTTCAGTCTACTCCTTCGTGTTATGCGCGGGACACAAAATAGCCTACATGAGTGTTTCCTGTCTTTTGTCTAGATTTCTTGTGGTGCGAACAAAAGACCAACAAATTGGCCCCTAACAGAGCCCATGTATTTCTTTTAGATAATCCTCTATCCATTGCAAATCACATATTGGCAACTTTCCGTAATCCGTGAAACAAGCTCCCGAATTTAAATTCTTAAAATCCGTTGCTGGATTTCTGTTTACCGAAATGCGTAACCGGGAAACCGCATGCAGGCCCTCCTATGATGGTAGAATGAAATTTTCCATTGCCGGTGGCAATGGACTTAGCCTTTCATAGACTAACCAGGTGTTCATTCTATCTTGGCCTCGGCGCCTCGGGGCTCAATTGTCTCGTTACACTTGGTGCGATAATCTCTTGGCAATTTCTAGCGTTAACTTGACCCCAGCAGGCGTCTATTGTGTATAAATCCCCATGTAACCTGTGTTTTCTACATGTAGGTACCTGTCTACTGAATCAACATGCCAGCAGTCAACTACAACAACAACATCCGCACCTCGCAGCGCCCTGGAATTTCTCTGAAGGAATCTCAGGACTTCTACAAGACCTGGGCTGAAACTTACGACCAGGTACGTTCGGACAATCAATATCAAAATTGGTAAAGAAAAGAATGTGACGCTTTTTGTTATTCTTGTACATCTCTACATCCAAATGTTCTTGTATCGTTAAAATGTACGGATTTAGTCATTTGAATTTGTTATAAAAAGCGTTATATCTTTTACTCGTATAAAGGATTTTTCCGATCACTTCTTTTCCCAGGACACGACAGATTCAAACTACAACGGTCCCCGTGCCACAGCCAATCGTATGCTGGCGCTGTTTGAAGGCAAGACTGATGCACGGATCCTGGACGTGGCCGCGGGGACAGGCATGTCAGGAGAAGCGGTCAGTCCTAATTGCTTTCGATTGCGTGGGGGGGGTGGGAGGTGATTTTGACAGTTGATTGCTGGAGACCTAAAGAGGACATAGCCTGAAGTAGTGGCATACAAATAGATATTTAATTTAATAAAACCCCCATCACAGTTCCCCCAAAACAGAACCCAAATATAGTACAGAACGTAGAATTTGAACATAGAAGACATAAACTAATTTAACACTTAGCCAATAGATAAGTAGTAATGCACAATCCTAAATGTGTGTTAAAGTTATATTAGTGTTATATATCGTCCCCCACAGCTTCAGAAGGTGGGGTTCCGGTCCATGGACGCCCTGGAGCCCAGTGAAGACATGCTCGTCCTGGCGAAAGAGAAAAACATCTACGGTCGTCTGATCCAAGACTTCCTGGGTACAAATCGTCTGGACATTGTGGACGGTGAGTTCTTCCCTTCTTTCATGTCACTCATATAGCCATTTTGGTACCAAACTGAGAAATCGAATCCATGTTATATTGGAGAGCCTTACACTGCACAAAAGTAGGCTTTAACAAGGTTGATTTAACAATGCCAAGTTATCAAGTCTGGTATGGTTGCTTTGGCATGTGGTGATTCAGGCAAGGATTACCAGACTTAACCGGCATGCATGGCTATTGTTACAGTCAGACACTACCGGGCGTACCTAGTCTCCATAAAACTCCTTTGCAGGCTGAATAAATAGTAAAAATTGGTCTAAAACGGAATGTAAGTAGGCAAGGGGAGTTAGCCGGCCATAGGCAAATTGGACCCTCTATGGCCGGCTAACTCGCCTTGCGTGGCCAGCCAAATTCCGTTTTAGGCCGATTTCGCATGTATTGTCATTAGGAAATCTAGGTTAGTAGGCAAACTTTGCTCTATAATCGACTATTCTAAGACCCTCTAAGACCGAAACCTTTGCTTGGAGAATACTTATTTTCAGTCCCGAGGCATATTTGTATGTACACTAATGCTGATTGTGATTTTTTTTTTCAGGAGAATATGATGCCACAGTGATGGTTGGTGGGATGGTCGAGGGCCATGTGGGGTGCGACTGTCTGGAAGAACTCATCAGGGTGACGAAACCAGGTGGGTAGGGGTCCTTTACTGACCTAAATCTATCTGGCTTGTTCTAAGCACCTGTAATGTCCTGGTATGCGCCTTCGTCTTCTTCTTCTTCTTCTAAACAATGTCTCCGACGACTGCAGTGGAGCTAGGACAAGTGACATTCTTGTGGCGACAAGAAAACACCTCAGTAGACACAGATTTCGTAGTCTGTTTTCTGAGAATGCTTATTTTATGTGGAAAGTATGTTTGTATTTGATTTGTTGCGTTTTCTTGTTGATTTGTTGCGTTTGCTTGTTGCAGGAGGATTTGTGGTGATCACCATGAGGGAAGTCAACCTGCGCAAGGTGCCCGAGTACACTAAACTGGAGCCCCGCATGGCGGCGCTGCAGAATGAAGGATGCTGGGAACGGGTGTCACGTGACGTCTTCCCCAACTACTGCGAGGGAGAAGATGGCGTCATCTTTGTGTACCGTGTGTGTTGATTCTGATTGGAAAGAAAAAAAAAGATTATGGCAGCGAACATGTTCAAAATATGTGACCTAACTACAATCATGAAGCAATCATAACTTTTATACCCTTTCTATCCCAAAAGTTTGACTTACTAGAACTCCTATTTATGCAATATTTGGTGGGTATGTGGTCAATGCCATCATAGTGGGTCGGTGTTACATATAGTAACGAAAGTTTATACGCACAAAGACTACATATAACAGCAAATAGTCCTTCGTAATATGTCCAAATAAAGACTATGTCTTCTTGCGTGCTTGGTGCATAATTATGGGTTAAGGTTTCTTCGGTTACGAAAGATAATATCACTTCTTTTATAAAGAAAGCATATATTCATACTAAAGCAATGAAATGATAGACATGTGTTTATTGAATAAATGTTATGTCCGTCATTCTGTTGGTATTGTCATGATTTGTTATAATAGTTACCTTCGCCAAGAAGGTTATGTTTTGAGAGGCGTTCGTGTATGTGTGTGTCTGTAAACACGATAACTTGAGAAGGCCTTGATGGATTGTCTTGATACTTGGTAGGTGAGTAGGTCTTGAGACCTCAAAATGATTAGATTTTGGACCCCCTGGCGGCTTGTTATGGTACTGCAGCTGAACTTCCGGATTTGATCTCATGATCTAGACATGCCATGGTTATGAAATTTGTCACTGAATGCCATCCAGTAAATTTCTAGCGGCGATTGATTTATGAATAATTTATCAAGTCCCACGGACCCGGTTCCTTCACTTGCAGAGAAGCCAATTTAACCTCCTTGTTTACACTGATCCGGTGGCACGCGACGGGCGAAAACACATATTTCAAACCCATTGTTCGTCCATATAAAGCGGTTATACGTAATACATTACAAAGAGAATTTTCGGAGGACTTCCATTACTTTAGTTTGCAGCATGTGTATTAAGAACGGGTATCTTCATAATTCTGCTGGCTGTTTGTAGAAGCTGTTTGAAAGTGGTCTCAACATTTTGTTTGATAACGCAATGAAGCAAACTTGCAGTAGAAGTTTGCATTTGTTTGTTTGTTGGTCGGGTGGTCTGGTGATGTTGTCTTTGTTGGTTTGTTGTCTGTCAGGGTAGTAAGCTCCTAGCCTGGGTACCATCCTACTTGTATGCCGGGGCTCCCATACTCAAGTCAAGTCAAGTCAAGTCAAAGCCTTTATTTTCCTTCGAATGCTTGTTCGGCGCAAGGCCGCTTTTCAACAAGGTCGAAGTTGAGGGGAGGGGTCACGGATAAGAACCAAATCAATACAAACATAAATAATAAGTAATTAAATCAATACAATAAGTAAGTAAATAAGTTCACAAATAAATCATTAGGTTCGTAGCCAATTCAAGTCCATGGTGAGTCCCAGTTATGTCTGTTCCATAAGTGACTTGAAGGTATGGATGGATGGTGCTGCCCTAATGTGGGGCTGGATGTTATTCCATACCACTGAGCCGGAGTAAGCCAAGCTTCCCTAAGAAGTAGTCTGGAAACGCTTGTATCTATTTGGCTTGGTGATGATATCACATAATGAGGTAGGCCACATGGGGAGGGCTGGGCGGAGCCTCTTCCACTAGTAGATGACCCATCAGTACAAAGTCCACGTGGCCATGTGCTGTTTTGGTAAGGGCAAAAAAGTTGCTGCTTATGTATGAGGGTCTGCATGCTCTTTTCCGTAAGGCGTAGGCGGGCCTTTTTAATTTCCCGTAATTCGTAGGGAAGTTATTTTATTTACCGTAATTCGTAGTGAGGAGGCGAAAATTTCCCGTAAAGCGTAGTCAGCGCATTTCACGTAAAGCGTAATCGAGCCTAAAAATTCCCCGTAAATCGTAGTCTGGACTCCCATTTTTCGTACGCCGTAGCGGACGAACCAGCAACCAGGATTTCTATTGTCTAACCTGGACACGAGAGCACCCTTGACATCAGTGGAGTTCTGTACTATTATTGGTCAGTATTGGCCGGGTGGCGGGAGCACATCTGGAGTCAATTTTAGTCGCATCTTCATCTCTGCTTTACAGTATCTTGTCTGCCCCTTTCTTGCCTGTCCCATCAATCCCACCATGGCTGACGTGATGCCCGTGATTGTGCGCATTTTATCGCATACGGTGGTCCGGCGGGTTGTCTATCAAGAGGCGGCATTTTTTATCTGGTTCTTTTGTTTCACGAACTAAAATTCTTCGCGAACTTGTTCACCCCGTTTCGAGATATTTACGAAGATATTTATGAACATTAATATTTATGAAATTTACGAATTTGTTACGAATGAATGAATTTTACGAATTTTTGAATATTTATGAAATTTACGAACATTTTATTTTCTCAGTCGTAAAATGTACCGATGGGCATATGAATGTACCGAAACAAAATTAGTATTAGTTCGTTGGTTAGTTGCTCAGAAATCGGGCTCTAAAATACACCAGAGAGCCTCTCAATTTTAAAAATTTCCTGGGGTAGCCCGCGCCCAACGAGAG